TACCTCCCAGAGCAGGATGGGAGGGGCAGAGTAAAGGGGATTTCAGGAGGCACAGCTATTCAAGCTTCTCTTTTGGATGGAGACGTTTGTCTGTGCTCCTATGAAGGTGAAGGCTGCTAGAAGTGATCTTAGACCTCATGCTTTAACCGTCTGGGTTCGTCTGAGTCCAGGAATGTGAGACTCTGGGGTATGAACTGGTGATGTGTTTTAACAGGAAAGAACAAGAGCGAGGCAGGCCAGGCACAAAGGCAGCAATGGACTACACGCTGCCGACCAGCACTTGTTCTCAGTAGAAAGAGGAACTTGAGTCCAACTTTGGTTCTGTTTGCATCCCATCTGAAGAGCCAGCCAGCCAGGCAGAGGTAGCTGCACCTACTCAGGGCAGTGTCTTCAACTGCAAACTGCCACCATGCATCAGGTGGTTTCAGAATGTGCACTGCTGCCTGCTAGTGGGGTCATGGGGTTAGAGTCGGATGCTATTGAAGACAATGGAGTCTAGTGTTCAGAGGGCAGGGCTAGGAGCCAGGGCTCCCGAGTTCTATTCCTGGCACTGCCACCAACTTGGGTGTGTCACTGGGCACTTCACCCTCCGTGCCGCTTTCCTCTGCTGTGAAATAGGGATGATAATACCTCCTCCGGAGGGATGGTTTGAGGCTTAATGAACAAATGTGGGTAAAGCACTTTGGAATCCTCAATGCAAGGTGCTGCAGCATCTACAGGCCCGAGCGCAGCACAAGACAGATTTGCTATAGGCATAGGGGCATTGGCATGGCCTCGCCGTCCCATTGCCTTCACCTGGGCATGCCGATGTGCTAGGCACCGACGGCACTAGCCATGCCGTCTTGCTGGCTATTCTGTGAGTTCCCATTCACCTATCCCACTGCTGCTGCAGGGTGAAGTGCTCCCTAGTGGTTAGAGCGTGGTTACGCTGCTAAAAGCAGCTCCCCTGTGGCTGGGTAGCTTATGCAGCGGTATTTTGTTCTCTTCAACAGCCACAGGAAACCAGTCCAATTCCTGAACTGGATGGCTGCCCCCCCAGGAGACTCCCAGCCAGGCCTTGCCCTGGGTGCGGCTTTCATGGCTAGGCTGAATCTCGGCCCTGAGGCCTTGCTCCATGTTTGACTCTACTTTTGCTCAGTCCTTGCTCAGGCAAACTTCCATGGGCTTCGCGGGATTGAGGCCCTTAGGCCTGGGCCCTTGGCAAGTGCCTCTGCGGTTAATTCGAGCACATGAGCACGGCTGGCTCCCCACCCTGAGTCTGTCGCTCATTCATTACGCCTAGCTCTGTAGCCCAGGGGGGCTGCGTTCCCGAAGATAGGAATGGTGACCTGACACCCCAGCATGTAGATCCAGCTCCCACCATCTCGGCAGGGCAGTAGTGGGCTTTAGCCATGGGCCAAAGTGAAAGAGCTGCTTCCGCAGCGCTGGTGCTAGGACAAGGGACCCTGAGAATGGCGTAGAGGTAGCCCTGCCGCCGAGGCCAGGGACGACGCTCACTTGCCCGTCCGTGTTAAACAGGGCCCACGTGGCGAGGGTGAGGGTCGGGTGAAGCCTTTGGCTTGTCTGCGAGAGCCGAAGTCCCCGCCCTAGGAGCGTGAGGGGGGAAAGTGCGAGTTTTTACTCCTCCTGCTCGTTCACGCTGGCTCCGTGTGTCTCTGCAGGCTGGCCCTTCAACCAGGTCGTCTGCACCATGAGTGGCCTTGTCCAAGGATCGTCTGTCTCGGCCTCCGTTTTCACGCTCGTGGCCATCGCCATGGACAGGTGAGCTTCCCGTGGTCTCGTCATTTTGATCCGGCCCATTATAGAGCTAAGAAGTTTTGATCTGAGGTGAAGATGAAGGAACTCAATGTAGCTTATTGACGAGAAGGTCCAGAGGTGACTTGATCGCTGTCTATAAGTATATTGTTAAGTATTTGTTTACCATGTAGATACTTACAGACTGTGATCATCAAATCATAGAATATCAGGGTTGGAAGGGACCTCAGGAGGTATCTAGTCCAACCCCCTGCTCAAAGCAGGACCAACCCCAACTAAATCATCCCAGCCAGGGCTTTGTCAAGCCGGGCCTCTAAGGATGGAGATTCCACCACCTCCCTAGGTAACCCATTCCAGTGCTTCACCACCCTCCTAGTGAAATAGTATTTCCTAATATCTAACCTAGACCTCCCCCACTGCAACTTGAGACCATTACTCCTTGTTCTGTCATCTGCCACCACTGATAGCCTAGATCCATCCTCTTTGGAACCCCCTTCAGGGAGTTGAAAGCAGCTATCAAATCCCCCCTCATTCTTCTCTTCTGCAGACTAAACAAGCCCAGTTCCCTCAGCCTCTCCTCGTAAGTCATGTGTTCCAGCCCCCTAATCATTTTCGTTGCCCTCCGCTAGACTCTCTCCAATTTTGTCCTCATCTTTTCTGTAGTGGGGGGCCCAAAACTGGACACACTACTCCAGATGTGGCCTCACCAGTGCCGAATAGAGGGGAATGATCACATCTCTCGATCTGCTGGCAGTGCTCCTACTAATGCAGCCCAATGTGCCATTAGCCTTCTTGGCAACAAGGGCACACTGCTGACTCATATCCAGCTTCTTGTCCACTGTAATCCCCAGGTCCTTTTCTGCAGAACTGCCCCTTAGCTAGTCAGTCCCCAGCCTGTAGCGGTGCATGGGATTCTTCCATCATAAGTGCAGGACTCTGCATTTGTCCTTGTTCAATCTCATCAGATTTCTTTTGGCCCAATCCTCCAATTTGTCTAGGTCACTCTGCACCCTATCCCTACCCTCCAGTGTATCTACCTCTCGCCCAAGCTTAGTGTCATCCGCAAACTTGCTGAGGGTGCAATCCATCCCATCATCCAGATCAGTGGTTCCCAAACTTCAACAACCTGTGAACCCCTTTCACTAAAATGTTGAGTCTCGGGAACCCCCTCCTAAAAATGTATATTTCCAGGGATTTTCTTCTTTATCTGAGTATAAATGATAAAAGCAGTCATCTGGGAAATATAAAATTTGTTTTTATGACATGCATATTACACACTATTTATTATTTATTATTATTTATCATTACAGTATTTTTATTACATTATGAAAATGGCAACACTCTTCCAAGAGCTCACTTTCGTAGCTTGTATCACTTTGAATAAGCCTGTTATAAGACAAGGCTCCTATGTTTCATCAAGGAGTATCAGATGTGAAACATCATGAGGGTATTTAAGAAGCCAACTCAAAGAGTTCCTCCTACACAAGCATTCAGGTCTTGAGCAGTCCAGGCAAACAATGCACGTTACAACAAAGCTTAAACTTGTTCTTCATAATAATAAAAAAAAAAACAATACTAGCTGCCTATTTAATTTTAAAAACAGCAAAAAATATCCACCTCCTTTTCCATTTCTTATAAGGAGTCTTGAAGTTTAAATCTCCTCAGTGTGATAAATATGGTTGCTTTGATCTGCTTAGCTCGTGGAAGTCCAGTGACTCTGGGCTCCTGGCCCTGCGCTGCCCAGGGTCCCTAAGGAAAGCTCTGTCCGCCATTAGGGAATTTTTTTCCGAGAACCCCCTGTAACATTTCGCGAACCCCCAGGGGTTCACGAACCCCAGTTTGGGAACCACTGATCCAGATCATTAATGAAGATGTTGAACAAAACCGGCCCCAGGACTGACCCCTGGGGCACTCCGCTTGATACCAGCTGCCAACTAGACATGGAGCCATTGATCACTACCAGTTGAGCCCGACTATCTAGCCAGCTTTCTATCCACCTTCTAGTCCATTCATCCAGGACCAGCTCCAGGCACCAGCTTGGCAAGCAGGTGCTTGGGGCGGCCACTCCGGAGAGGGGCGGCAGGTCCAGCTATTCGGCGGCAATTCGGCGGACGGTCCCTCACTCCTGCTCTGAGCGAAGGACCTTCTGCCGAATTGCCGCTG